TATGTGGACTGTGATTGGGCACAAATAGGCTAGTTTAGCTGTGATTGAAGAACTGCTTAAGATTGTGTCCACGTATTAAGGCATTTCCAACCTCAGACAACAATAACAACAATAACAAGATGGAAAGCAGACCACACCAAAAAGTGGCTCAGGCTCTTTTCTTTCTTTCCTGAGATCTCTGTTTTCCAAAGGCACATTTTCTTTCTTTTTGCTCTGTAGGGGCCACCAGAAAACTCCTTGCGATTGAATGAGTTGAGAGACCTGCTTCTCCAGGTCCCCTGAGTCAGTGAGTGAGGATTCCTTTATTCATAAGGCGAAAGGAGTTCACTCTTCCATTTTTTGTTAGACCAGTTTAAAAGTCTCATTCATCGCGGAAACTAATTAGAACACCTCCAGACTATGGGATTACAACTGTGAATGTGGAAATGTTTGGCATCATTCACTCACTCATTCTGTATTACTTGGGACTCTGGATTGTAAATGACAGAAAGTCAGCTTGAATCTGTTAAACCGAAATATTGGGTTATTCCCCAGAACCCAAGTACAGGAATGAGGCTTCAGGGACAACTGGAAGGAGTGTTCCCGAATCTCTGGGACTGCCCTCTCCAACTCACATCTGCTTTCCTCTTTCTCTCTTGACAGGCATGTTTCCTCTGCTTCTCCACCAGCTCCTGGGCTATTATATCTTGCAGCCTAGATGCACTACGAGGTCAGTTTCTCTTCTCAGCTCTAGTTCCAAAATCCCCGGAGAAGAACTTGGCTTGGCCTGGTTTGGGTCTGAACTGGGTTGGGTACCAACCAACTGAAGACTTGGCTAAGTCTGGTTACACAGCTACCGGGAACACTCAGATGGGGCTCAGGAGGGCCAGGCCACTCTGTACTACCACGCCCACCTCCCACCGTGTGGATTCAGGAAAGAATCCACTGCTAACAAAGCAAAACAAAAGGAGTCCACTACCTATTCTTTTTCCTGTAATATCCTTCTCTAAAAGCAGATGGGAATTCTGTTATTTTGCATCTACCTACTTTGTGTCTAACTGCCTCTTGGCAGTCCTTTTCTTCATATTGTGTCTCCGATGACATTGCCTTAAGGCGGTTTTCTCTAGTTTTCCATCTCTACTCATGCACACCTCTTTTTCATTCTTCATGCCCAGACTGGCTGCCTACTTCTACTGGGCTCTAATGGAACAACAGCTCTCCTCTAACTCCTGCAACTAAAACAGAGCCGCCTTTCACAGAGCTCTCCTGCATAATCTCCCCCCTCTTCCTTCACATATATTCTCCTCTTCCCAGCTTCAGAGAAAAGATTCATTCTTGTCAGTGTCTGGAGAGGGTCAAGATCCATGAGCCCATGTGGGCTAAGTGAGAACACGCTAGAAAACGAGATAGATGCTAGAACGGGGATTTGCTAGAGCAAGTAATCTCTGCCACAAAGAACAGAAGGACAAGGGGTTGAGAAGTGCATTCTCAACCTTGAGTCAAACTACATACAAAGTTAAATCATACTTTGAAACCATTTTTGGTTTATTGCAAGAAATCCCTGCCATAGGTACTGGAAACACTCAAATTCTGTAGAGTGAAATAATAATAATGACAACAACAACAGTTAAAGTGAGCTGTTTCCATGTATTCTGGGTGGGTTTTCCTATGTAGAAAAAAAGGCTAGTCAAAAGTTTACTTTTTTCTTTTTTGAAGATTATATTTATTTATGCACAAGAGACACAGAGAGAGACGCAGAGACATCAGCAGAGGGAGAAGCAGGCTCCTTGCAGAGAGCCCAATGTGGGACTCAATCCCAGGACCCCGAGATCATGACCTGAGCCAGAGGCAGATGCTCAACCACTGAGCCACCCAGGTGTTTCTACTTTTACTTTTGTTTAATGATATAGAGTTTGCAAGGATCCAGCATACTATGGCCATAGGTCAGACTGACCCACTGCTGATTTGTATGGCCCATAGGTTAAGAATAGTTTTCACATTTATAAATGTGGGAAAAAAATAGAAGAATATTTTGTGATGTGTAAAAATTGTACAAAATTCAAATTTCAATGTACTTGCCACAGAGACCATATGTCCTGCTAAGTCTAAAATAATTATGTGACTCTTTTCAGAAAAAGTTTGCTGACCCCTGGTTTAAAAGGTTAGTGTTTAATTTATTAAACAACAAATTCAAAACCTTGGTGTGTCCTTAAGCTTTAAAAAAAAAAAAAACAGATGGTGGTTACACTTCTGTGAAACCACCACCACCACAATCAAGATACAGAATATTTCTATTACCCCCAAGAGATTCTGCAGGCCTCCCATAGAATATCCCTCCCTCTGCTCCCACAGCCCTAGGCAACCACTGATCTGCTTTCTGTTACTATATATTAATTTGTATTTCCTAGAATTTTGCATAAATAGAACCATATGGTAAGTGCTCTTGTGTCTGTCTGTTTTTACCCAGCATACCGATTTTGAGATTCATTCATATTGTTGTGTGTATTGGTAGTTTGTCCCCTTTTATTGTTACATTTTTTAAAAAGCAAAATTTTAATTTTTAGTTTAAAAATTCTGCACTGTAGAACATTTCAACATTTTACCAAAAAAAGGCCAAAATAGCACATTATTTCTTTTTGATGTACTTCAATTACCTGTCAAGTATTAATTTTTATAAAGTAAAGCAATTGTACTTACACATATAGTAAACTTTAAATTCTCTTAGATTTTTTAAAAGAGATTTTGTGTATTTATTCATGAGAGACACACAGAGAGAAGCAGAGACACAGGCAGAGGGAGAAGCAGGCTCCCTGCAGGGAGCCCAATGTGGGACTCAACCCCAGGACCTCGGGTCATGCTCTGAGCCAAAGGCAGATGCTTAACCATGGAGCCACCCAGGTACCCCTTTCTCAGATGTTCTGAAACTCTGTCTAAACTTCCTAAGATTTCAACTTAAAGTCAGAAGTTTATATCAGTTACTCAGTTATACCTTTTATGTTTTTATTTTTTAAAATTATTATTATTATTTTAGTAATCTCCACACCCACTACAGGGCTTGAATTCTTGACTGAGATCAAGTGTCACATGCTCTTTCTATTAAGCCAGTCAGGCGCTCCTGAGTAAACACTTTAAATTGTTCTTATAAGAAGGGTCTCTTGGGCCAAATTCTCCTACACATTTGTGGCACAGAAAATATCTCACATGCCCAGATTCCTTCTGATTACAGAGACATTACTCTTATGGTTTTGATTCTCCCAAACCTTCCATATTACTTATTTTTCTGGAGTAGAAAAATACGAAGCCCTGGAAAGGACCGTCACCATCCCAGCTAAGCAAAGTAATTGGTTAAGGAAGCAGATGCTGTCCCAGCTAATTGAAGTAACTTAGAGTCAGAGATTTTGGTAGAACCTGAGTTTTAAAGTTGCAGACATGCAAAGGTTTACTACTCATCTCTCATACTAAGGTCCTTTTTATAAATACAATGGAGGTCTTCAAAGCATGAAGGGTGCTTATTTTGGACTCACACAAGGTCTTACAGCTTTCTTGAGTCCACCCATCCCTAGGTTAGATTTGTAACTATTTGGTTTCTCATATATTTTTTATTTAACTCTAGAGATCTTTGAACTCCCAGGGATCCAAAGAAACATATTTTCATTTATCTATTTTCACCTGCAAATACTAGAGTGTGTATCTCTAATATATGAAAACCTGAATATTTTTTAAATGTATGCTCCAAGCCCAATGTGAGGCTTGAACGTACACCCCCAAGATCAAGAGTTGCATGCTCTACTGACTGAGCCAGCCAGGCACCTCTATAAGAACTTCAAAAAGTAACAGTGCCATTATCTCATTGAACCAAATTAACAAGAATTGATGTAATCTGTCCACCTCTTATTTCTCCAACTGTCTAAAAGAGATGTTTTTACAATGTCCGATCAGAATCATAACAAGGCCGTATATTTGTCTGGTTGATACGTCCCTAAAGGTGTTTAAGTCTACTGCCATCTTCTGTGCCCTTAAAGCCATTGATTTTTTTTTGAAGAAACTGGGTTGTTTTCTATAATTTCCCACACTCTGGATTTGGCTGAGTGGTATGAACTTTTAGGTGGTATGAACTCTCTAAGTTTTCTTCATCCCTTATATTTCTGGTAGCAGGCTTGATTAGATTCAGATGCTTTTTTTTTTTTTTTGTCAAGAATACCTCATGGGTGCGTAAATATGTTTTCTAACTAGCAAAGACTTTTGAACTTGATTAGACCTTCCATTCTTTTGTATTGCTTAGATATTCAACATCTAATTTATTTAATTAAATCTATTTTATTTAAGAGTTTTATTTTTATTATTTTTTTAAAGATTGTATTTATTTATTCATGAGAGACACACAGAGAAAGGCAGAGACAGGAGAAACAGGCTCCCTGCGGGGATCCCGATGCGGGACTCGATCCCAGGATCCTGGCTGGGGTCACGACCTCAGCCACCCAGGCCCCCCCCCCCCACGCCCCGCTTAGATATTTTAAATGGTAAACTGAAGTTGGGATATCTCACACGGTTTTGAGTTGGACCTGCAGTCACAACTCACATAACAGCTAATTTTTACCAGGTGTTTCCCTTGGTCCCGGCACAATGACAACCAAGCAGCTTCCTTACGATGCTCATTTAATCTTTACGAACATTTTGCAGGAGAGGAAACTGAAGCTGCCAGAGTTCGATTACTCTGACCCAGTTAGTGACACTGTGACGCGTCCGGGGGTCGAACTAGGATCCCAGCTCCGGGTTGGTTCCGCGCGGAACAATCCTACCTCGGGCTCTCTGCATTTTCCCGGTTCTCAACCTCCGGGTATCAATTATACGTTAGTGGTTCCGCCCCGCCCCTCGCCCCGCCCCTCCCACCAATCGCCCCGCCCCGCCCCCGCCCCTAGCCACGCCCAGTTCCGGGTCTAGCCGAGGGAGCTCCGGGGTTAAAACACACACACACACACACACACACACACACACACACACACAAACCACACTCCCCAGAGTGCACCGCGAGAGCTAAGGCCTCACTACCGGCGTCCGCTCCCCGGCGCCATTTCTGTAGAGGGGACGGCAGCGCGGCCTGTGGCCATGGCGCTGTTCCCGGCCTTTGCTGGCATTAGTGGGGCTCCGGATGGCGGCAGCGCGAGGAAAGGTAAGCAGGCAAAAGGGATGAAGAAGGCACTCGGCGGGCTTACAGCGGAGTGTCTCGGTCCCAGGTCTCGGCCCTTGCTTGGGGTTTGTTTATCCATCTGTGTCCCAGAGTTCTCCGCGGCGCTGCAAAGCCTTCTGGGAAGGGCGCCCTGGGCTGGTCCCGGCGTGAGGTTTGAGTTGCCGAGCGCTGGTCGGAGGAAGAAGAGCCCTGGCAGGGGTCGTGGGGCGCGGACTTCAGGTGGTCCTGCGGTCCGGCCCCCTCCTCGCCGGGGGCCTCCGTCACGTCCCCCTGAGAAACAGACATTCACATTCCGGGGAGAGTCCTGGTGCAAAAGGCGAGGTGTTCCCACTGCATCCCTCCTGGCGTTTTTCCCCCGTTTTACTGAATTCTGAACTGTCCGGTGGGTTCCTAGCTTTTGGCAGAACTGGAGCTGGGGATTAGCATCCGCAGCCTGACCACGCGCGGTTTCTCCGCGGGGTGGGGGGGCACAGGTGCTGGGAATCAGAACTGGTAATTGAGGGGAATCACGTTCCATGTTCTGGCCCCAGGACATCTGCAGTTATTACAACCTGAGACGGGGGATTGTAATTTAAAGTCATTAATCCTAGATCCTACACATAATGTGGCCGAGCCCAATTGTGTCTGACTCCTTCCTCTTTTATATCCTCTTATGGTTCCTACACCTTTTTTTTTTGGTAATGCTCTACATCATTTTGAGTAATTTCCTATGTAAATTAGTGCAATTTTTGGTTATCCTTGACTAGGTTGTAACCTGCATGTGGTCGGGGACAGTGTCTCCAGACTGCAGCATACTTCGCCCAGAGCTCAGGTCCAGAATATTGTAGGTGTGCAAGAAATGTCTGCTGAGTATACAGACCAATAATAGGCGATATGGGAAACAGGCAGAAGAAATATTATTACATTTCCTTACTCCCTACAGCCGGTTGACAAGTCCTTGAAACAGGCAAGGCGACAATCCTCTAGGGACTCAACTGCCTGGGTTGTTAATACTTTGCTAAGGGCGAAAGGTCCTGGAGACTTTGCTTCCGATGTTTCTTAGAGACTTAACGCTCTTCCCAATCCCTTCCCAGCTTGAAAGTACAGAATGGGCCACTCATCATGACCCCAGTGCAGCTCTTCCTGTCCACAGGTCCTGTCCCCGTGCCTTTTTTTTTTTAAAATATTTATTTATTCATGATAGACATGGTGGGGGGAGGGAGCAGAGACACAGGCAGAGGGAGAAGCAGGCTCCATCCCAGGAGCCTGACGCGGGACTTGATCCGGGACTCCAGGATCATGCCCTGGACCGAAGGCAGGTGCTAAACCACCGAGCCACCCAGGGATCCCCTGTCCCCGTGCTTTAATAAAAGCCTCCTTTTTGCACCAGGTACGTCTCAAGAAGTCTTTCTTGGCCCTCAGCTTGGAACCCTGATGTCTTCCTTACATCAATAGGTATTTTTTAAAAAGTGACAGAAAAGGTAAGATGTTATAGGTATCACAGGTGAACTACAGGAATACTGACTTCTGATGGGAAGTTCAAGAAGGCTTTATTTAGTAGGTGACTTTGGCGATGGGTCTTCAAGACCGTGCAATCTGGATGGATGGAGATAATGGAAGGGCATTCCAGGGCCTTTAAAGACATGCAGGGGGATCCCTGGGTGGCGCAGCGGTTTGGCGCCTGCCTTTGGCCCAGGGCGCGATCCTGGAGACCCGGGATCGAATCCCACGTCGGGCTCCCGGTGCATGGAGCCTGCTTCTCCCTCTGCCTATGTCTCTGCCTCTCTTTCTAGCTCTCTCTCTGTGCGACTATCGTAAATAAATAATAATAATAAAAAAAGACATGCAGGAAGGAAATCATGTGACCTGTGCAGAAAATTGCAAACAGTCCACAGTTTGTGTGGAAATATAGAGGCCTAATGAGGGGCCTTGGGAAATATGGTTGGGACCAGTAGTGAGGGGCGGGTAGTGACTTAACAGGCCAAAGGTTTATCTCTTCTTTGGGGAGGGTGAAATGGAAAGTTTACAGGAGAGTGTCGTCCTTGTCATTGATCTTCACCAATATTTATCAGACATTTTCTGGGTATTCAATATCAGGATAATGTTTGTAAAAGAGGTTTTTAGGAAGCACTGTATTTTTACAAATTTAGACGTTATCACTCAAATTAACTCTGATTCTTTAATATCATCTAATTTCCTGTCAACGTTCACATTTCCCAAGTTGTCTCAAAAATGGCCTTTTAGTGCTGCTTCAAGTCAGGATCCCAAGAAAGATACAACGTTGTATTTTGTGAATGCATCTCTTAGGTCTCTTTTTAATATGAAACCGTTTCTCCTTCCCTTTCAGTTTCCCTGGTGATTTATTTGTTGAGGAAACTGGGTCACTTGTCCTGTTGACGTTTCCTACCAAATCCTCCTTGGTGTCATTCAGCATCCTTCTCTATCCCAGTATTTCCTGTGAACTGGCAATTAGATCTAGAGAGTTAATTAGATTCAGGTATAATTTTAATTGAAAATACCTCATTGGGTGTTTGCTATTTACTCAGTTTGGGAGGATGTGCTGTCTAGCTTTTCTTCTTTTGGTAATGTTAAGATTGATCAGTGATTTCAGGGACAACTGGACTCATCCGTGATGACGCTGCCCATCAGTCTTTTACCTAATGATTTTTGCAGCCATTTATGATTGTTGCTTAGATGCATTATTTCGTTGGGGTTACAAATGGTTATTTTCTAACTTTAGTTTTCCTCCTGTGTTAGCATCAATTATTCTGTAAACTTTCTGTCAACACTATTGGGATACCTGGAAATAGAATGCAGGTGGGGAAAGACAGGATGAATGGTTAATTTGTTCCCTTTGTCAGTTTTCAGAAAATGAGTTGGGCTCTCTGCGACTTTTAGAGGTCTCCCTCTTCATTATGAACTGTTGAATTTTTAACGCTTGGATTTTGATCCATTGTAGATATTATTTTTCTAATGCTCAAATCATCCCATCCGTGGCTAATGGGAGTCTAAGTTCGATGTGTGTCTTTTTGACATGACCCAGATGTCTTAATTGCTTCCTTGCTTTCTGGCCTAAAAGATGCCCATAGCTCATCACTTACATGTTCCATTATGGCCTGGAATTGCCTGTTTCTCTAAAAACCATGATTTCTTTTAGCGGAAAATGGTATGGGAAGGTTAAAACCACAGGTTGGTGTCAGGAGTACTAATTGCATTGGGTTGTCATTATTTGTAGACATTTTGAGTGGTCAAAACCAGGAAGAGAAAAATACATCATAAATTCACCTTGATATTTCCAGGTCAAATTTAATATTGTGAGATTTTTACTTAATTTCTTTTTGTAATATAATTTGTAATGTATATACCAATTTATAGTTAACATTTATATTTCTTTCCTCTTATGCTGAAAATCTTAGTTCTTGGGGTGCCTGGCTGGTTTGGTGGGTTGAGTGTGGACTCTTGATCTTGGAGTTGTGAATTCAAGTCCCACGTTGGGTGTGGGTGTTACTTCAAAATAAAATCTTGGGGCACCTGGGTGGTTCAGTCTGCTTCTCCCTCTGCCCCTCCCCTTGCTCGTGTGTGCACTCTCTCTCTCTCAATAAAATCTTTTAAAAAATTAAAATTAAAAAAAAAACTTAAAAAAAATCTTAGTTCCTAATGCCACCAACACAATTATGTATATGTTCAAAATAACAGTAGCAACATGATTAATACTAAATATAGTTTATATTTCTTTGTGGTTTCTTTTGTCCTTAGGACATATCCTGCAGCAGATATGTGGTCAGTTGACTGTGTTTTAAAATAATTTCTGTGTGGTTTTGTCACCAGTTTGACATATAGTTAAAGTAATGTATATTTTTAATTTTGGGGGATTGCTTTTTTCTTCTTTTTGAATTGATTTGGTTTTTAGCATTGTGAAACATTTACATGATCTTAAGGTTGAAAATGTAAACCAGGTATATTCATCTCTGTCATTTTCTGTACTATGTGGGTTAGAATTTTAATTAGTCAATGATATCCTTCCATTTTCTCTCCCTTAATATGAGTAGGTAGCTACATTTCCTTCCTTTTCTTAAATACATACTGTTCTACATTTTATCTTATTTTTTTGAAGACTTATTTATTTTAGAGAGAGCTCTAGCAAGCAGTGAGGGGTGGGTAGAGGGAGAGAGAGAGAGAGAGAGAGAGAGAGAATTCTGAAGCAGACTCCCTGCTGAGTGCAGAGCCCACTGGGACTCATTGTCATGACCCTGAGATCACAAACTGAGCTAAAATGAAGAGTCATTTTCAACATACTGAGCCACCCAGGCGCCCCACTTGTTTTGCATTTTAGCTAAAATTCCAGAGATCACTTTACAGTATAACATGAGATCTTTCTCATTTCTTTTGACTGATACACAGAACTCTATCATGGGATGTCACAGGGTATTCCCTATTAAGAACATTTAGACTGTTTCCTTTCTTCCGCTGTTATTAATAGAGGCACTCTACTTTGTTGTTGACACATGATGTTTCATTAGTTTCAGGTGTACAACGTAGTGATTCAGCAACTTTATACCTCATGCTGTGCTTACTGCAACACTGTTAGAATATCATCGACTATATTCCCTGTGCTGTGCCTTTTATTCCTGTGATTTATTCCTTATTCACAGGCATCTCCCACTCCCCTTCACTTATTTTGCTCATCCCCCGGCAACCATCAGTTCTCCATATTTATGAGTGAGCTGCTTTTTGTTTAGTTGTCTTGTAGATTCTACATATAAATGATATCAGGTGGTATTTTTGTTTCTCTGACTTCACTTAGCATAATACCCTTTTAGGTCCATTTATGTCATCACACATAGCAAGATTTCATCCTTCTTTATGGCTGGATAATATTCCATATTATTTCTATTTTTATGTATATATCACATCTTCTTTACTGACTCGTCTATTTACGGGCACTTGGGCTGCTTCCGTATCTTGGCTATTGTAAACACTGCTGTGGGAAACATAGAAGTTTT